GGGAAAAAAAGGAAAAAAAATTCCAACCCAAAACCCCCCCCATCCTTCCCCAAAAAATTGAAATGTTTTTCTTCCGGCCCACAAAAAATTTGTTACGTCGCTTACCGGTACAAATGTAGTCTTCGGGCGCAAAATCAAACGGAGGGGGACACATCCCCGTGTCCTAACAACACTTCTCTTCCCTTTCCCAGCAGGATGATTTTCCTTCAATGGTATATGTACGCTCCTCTCGGCCTCGGGTTGTTCACGATCTCGCCTGCATCCAGGTCGAACACGTAGCTGCTGCGGCCGAGGACAAGCTCCGTACGCACGCCCCCCCCCTCACCCTCCCCCCCGCCAATGATTGCGTCCCAATGGTCGAAGCCGCTCAGCTCCTTCCCCATCTCGCCCTTTTTTTTTAATTTTGTTTTTGGGTAGTGTCAGAATGAGCCTTTGGAATTTACTGTCTATGCGTCTTGTGCGTTTCGTGCAGTTATTGCGAGCAACACGCGAAAGAACGTTCTCAATATAACAGAAATAGGCTAACACTTGACAGACCAACGAGAAATCCTCAGTCTCAGTGTCTCAGTGCGGATAAACACGGAAAACTAAGGCCATGATCTGTGTTCTTGTGAGGGGGGATCGTGGTGGAGGCTAGGCTATTCCATGAAATAAAGCCAATCCTGTGAAACAACAATACGATACCGTCGGCGTTCCTTCAGAGAGACCGAAGACATCCAAAATACAAGCGTACAAGCGACGCTCTCGCGTGGAGCACGCCAAGCACATTACATTACATAACATAACATAACATAACTACATACAGTATCGAGAAACACGTCCACCTGTCTTAGGGGGGGGTAACTTCCATTCCTCGCTTCCTTACTTACCAGCGGGAGGTCCGGCACAACGCTGCCAAACGTCGGAGTCCAGTCGGTGGAGTGCATCATCCCAGAGTACCTGGTGCCTCTCGCCTGCGTGTGCAAGAAACAAGAACCGACGAACGATGGACGCGTGGGGTTTCCACAGCAGGGAGGGAGCCGTGAGGGGCAGGAGGCAGGCGTGTCTGGCGGGGGCGGAGGGGGTTTGGGATAAAGGGGGGGGGTGAGGGGCGAGGGCGACACAGGGGCCGTTGGCGAAACCTTCGCGTTTCCTATGCTAAGCGTCAAGCATGGCATCTGCACTCAAATGCCAAAACATGCCCGTACTGCCGGTAAAGTAGACAGACCCTTACGTCACGTCTCTACGGGGGAGTGTCGCGACAACATCCCACCCCCGTACACTAGTATATAGTATGGTGGACCTTTGTTGTTTGCGACATGGTTCCCGCCTTGCCCTCTCATACGTTCCGATTTCCGCCGCCCTCTCGTTCAATAGGAGTTAGCCAAAGGCCATTAGTAGTGTTGAGGCGGGTCGCCTGGCACAACTCGAGCATTCAACTTGTCTAGCACTCTGAACAAGGCCGGCACAGCAGTTGCAGGGTGCGACCATGTACAGGGACCCCTTCTGTACTACCGCATGCAAAGTACATGTTGCTATAGAGTCACGGGGCGAACGCACAGACAGGTGTGCGACCGACTTTTGAAGACTAAGGCGGATTGCGTCACTACCAAGAGGGTGCTATCATAACCCGACCCACACGCGCCAGGAATGACAGCTCTCGACGAGATACGTAGACAGATATGTCCCAACACCGCCCCTCTTCTCTTAGGCATTTAAGACTATTCTTAGGCATTCAAGACTATTCTTAGGCATTTAAGACTATTGGTTATGGAGCGATCGATCCAAAAAAAAACGATTGCACGTCTGTGTGTTCGCCCGTACCTTTACTGCAAACATGGCAGAACCAAAGAAAGAGCGGCAGAATGTTGGCTGTGTGATGACTACAACAAGGGGATAATCTCACGGTCCCCCGTCTATAAGGGGGGGGTGCCGCGAGACGATTGCTGACGGTTATTCACCAGGGTGAGCCCCCCTATGGAGACGATCTGACCTAACGACCCTTACCTTGCTGTTGTCGAAAGAAGGGGAGGGTGAATGGGAACTTCCATTGAAATGTTTTTGGGACTCCGGTGCTAACTTCGCGCGCAAAAATCAAACTACCCCCTCCCGTAGGAATGTTCCAAGAATATTCTTGGGACCCCGATGCTAACCACGAAGTAAGAGGCGACAACAATAAAAAGGTACATGTACACACGATATAGGGTACAGTACGGACTGACCTCCTCCGGAATCAAGTCCGTTGACTTGGAGTAGACGAACGCCGGTACACGGACCCCCCCCTCGAAGATTGTGTGCTTGTACCCCCTCAGGGGGTAGTTGGATCCCCCCGCGGTCGGGCAAGCACCGTTATCGCTCGCGACAACGAGGACGGTGTTGTCTAGGGCGCCAAGGGCATCCAGCTCGTCGTGAAGCCTTCGCATCTGATTGGTTGGCGTTTGGCGGCGGAGGGATTGACGCTGCCGGTGTGATGGTGTGATCGGTGTGATTGGCGAACAGTCGGTGGTGGCGATCGTCGCGTCTACTTGAAGGGGGAGGAGGGCTTTTGATTGAGCAGTGGTGGTGGTGGTAGTGGTAGTGACAACGTCAGCATTCGTTGAGGATGAGATCAACAAGACAGGCGAGGGTTGGTCGAAATAGGCGGGTCAACAAAAAAAGGCACGAGGAGAAGACACCAACATCAACAACTATTGAAACGACCCACTCAAGGAGAGCAATTCCGGTGAACTTTGAACGACTAGTCCACTAAGGAAGACAAAATATATCTGGGAACGACGGCCCGAATGACAATGCACCTTCAGCTGTGGCCGCAACAAAACCGAAAAAAATACTCCCACTAACATACTTTGAAAATTAGCCATGGTAATGTAAACGTAAACACTTATACCTCTTTGTCGAGGAATAGTATCACTCTTGCGAAGCGCTGTCGATAGGCGTCCTCGGAGACCACCCTTGCCAGAGTCGCATGCTCTTCCTCCGTGAAGTAATCATCAGGCGGAGGGTCCACCGGCGAGTGCACCGCCTTCGATTCAATGATTCAGTTCAATGATTCAATCCAATGGGCGTGACTCAGGTTGATAGGCACAGGCGACAGGTGGTGGCATGAAGCATGTTAGCTTACACGAGATCGGAATCACTCCAAATATTAAAAACAAGGGGGGGATTCATGTGCGTTTTTGGTGTTGGGGACGACATGCAGTAGGTGGGGTAAGAAATGCGAGTGCGGGTTGTGTTGACGGTCCGGTCGTGGAGCAATCGATCTTTACCTTTCGACACCGATTGCACAACACCTCCTGTCAGTTCGCCCGCACGTCTTGCGGGAGTTGGACAACCTTGAGGCGTTTTTCGTTCTGTCGACAGCAACTGTACAAGTTGATGCTAAGACTCCACGTGCACTATGATACAGTACAGCACATGTACTTTTTGTCTTTCCGGTTCGGTGGGGTTCGGTGGGCTGTTCGAGTCAAAACACGTAACCTGCGTGGGCTTTTCGAGCTCGGACAACGTCACAGACGGGTGGCAGTTCGATCGCGTTTGGACCATTCTTTTCACCTTTGCATCGCCCCTTGGAGGCACTGTCCGCGTGCTCTCATGAGCCGACAGCCCATTCCATCCGGAGGGCACATTTTTCTATCTACTATCTGTATTAGCTTTTCGCTCACCTGGTGGGACACGTAAAGGAAGAAAGGATCTTCTCCATGCTCTTTGGCGACCTCGATGGCTCGATCGGTGATGATGGTGGTGCTGTAGTTGCCCACGAACGAGGGTCCCTGCAAGGGGGGGGGGGCGTACTCATTTGTTGCTTGCCGTAGTCATTTGACCATTGACCACGCGTCCCTTTCGAGACGGGGAGGCGGGTGGGGTGGAGGGGTAGCAAATGGTGAGTGTTAGGATGGCGGTGTATGATGTAATAATGAGCGTGAGGGGGGTCGGGTCATGGCTAGGCAGGACTGAACAGTATTGTGAACTCCTTCTGGTTCTCCTGTCAACTGATATAGGCCAACTGCAACGTTCCAAAGGCAAGACAAAGCTTCCCCGCGGGGTGTGTCTCATCTCCCAATTTCGTACATCTCGTAGATGCGGTAGATACCTGTCTGGTGGTGTTGGTGATGTGATTGATGTAACCATCCTTGTCGCCGTACCCGAAGTCTTTGAAGCACGAATACTCCCCACCCTCAAACGTCGGGGTGTTGCACCTTAAAAAACAAAAATGACATTAGCTATGTACGTGTGTTGTTTTGCAGATTCATACTCGAGGTAAAACACACACACACACGTGGAGGAGATAGGAGAGACGTCAGCACTCAAGTCTGAGAGGTTCAACGAGTTAATCAGCCGGATCATCGCTGTGTTCCCGGGGGGGGGGGGGGGGCGTTAGCCCACCTTCGCTCTCTTTGTCTTGTCGTGACTGACGTCTAATGCTCGAATGCATGAATCGACCCAGAGATCTAAGATTGTTGCATCCATCAGCCATGGTCCGTAATCCCCTGGCGAAAAAAGAGAAGATCAAACAGATCACCCAAGGCTGGCGTCTAGCGGTCGAGACAAAGCAATCATACCATGGTACATGCCAAGACCACACACAGGCAAAGGAGAAGAGAGAAACACAATAGAGAGAGGGGCAGAGACGCACATACACAGAGAGAGATAGAGAGAGCGATACAGTATAATAATAGTACTTACCCCTCATGGCTGGAGTACCCCCTGACGGCACCCATGTACCCCAAGAAAGTGTCGAAGCCCCTTGCGAAAGGGTAGTGGGCATCCGAATACATGCCCAGATGCCACTTCCCCGTCTGTTTTGTATCCATCATGACCATGTTCCAGACATGACCGCCGTACGCGGGATTGGGATTAGAGGGAGACGAGAGTATGGGATGGTTGGTAGGGCGGGTTGACGTGTGTGGGCGGAGATGGTGGGGGTTGCGGGGTTCGAAAGCGCAACCGACGCGTGGAAATAGAAAGAGAGGCTCCGCGAGTGAGGGAAAATCGCGGATTGCCCCCCCTCGCCAGACCCAGAACAAAATCTGTCCGCCGGGAGAGGCAGTAGTAGGGTAGCGTACCCACTTCGGACGGTCCTGTGGCGCGAGCGTAGAAAGCGTCAATTGTGCGGGAAACTCCGGGAATGGATCCTACACGTCCCCGCCCTCGGGGATACAAAATACGCAACTCGTCGCCGACCAAACGATTAGCTTAATCATCTGCCACACACCACATGTGAGGGTGCTCTCAAGTAATGTTTTTCATGTCAACGGGATTGCTGAACACCACATTTTGCGTCGTTTGCGGTGTCCACCCTTTCTACTGACGACACAAACAAACGCGTGATCTGTGCCCCATAATACAGTACCGTGTGAGAGAGCAACAACAGTTTGATACTACTGCTATAAAATAGAGGCAACTGCCGACACGTCACAAACAAACAAGTCGCAGCATTTCGATAGACTGACGCAGAGGCATTCTCAGAGACAGGTAGGAATAGATAGATACAGATAGGACATAGAGATGAGAGAGAGAGAAAGAAAGAGAGAGAGAGAGAGAGAGAGAGAGAGAGAGAGAGAGAGAGAGAGAGAGAGAGAGAGAGAGACAAAGAGAGAGAAAGAGAGAGAGAGGCAGAGAAAGAGAGACATAGAGAGAGAGGCAGAGAGACAGACAGACAGACAGACGGACAGAGAGAGAGAGAGAGAGAGAGAGAGAGAGAGAGAGAGAGAGAGAGAGAGAGAGAGAGAGAGAGAGAGGGAGAGAGAGAAAGAGAAAGAGAGGGAGAGAGAGAGAGAGAGAGAGAAAGAGAGAGAAAGAGAGAGAAAGAGAGAGAGAGAGAGAGACATTTGCCCGTGACCCCAAAGGAAGAACGGCTTCCCTTCTTCGCCATGTACAGTACCATGTGAGTGGAATACCCAGCGGCCTTGAACCTCTCGGCAAGCGTAACCTCCTCCAGCGGCAGACCCCACGCACCAGAGTCCTCCACGACCTCGTACTGCATGCCGGTACGGAAGGTGTCTCGACCCGTCATCAGAGACGCCTGGCTGAACAAAAAAACAAAACAAAACAACAGGGTTTTAGCTAGATGATAGATGACGATCGATCGATCGCGAGTTGATGTGGTGACCAAGGAAATGAATGAAAGCTCTTCATTGCACGTGCTGGATAGCGAACACAATAAATGCTAAAATATCGTTTCTTTGTCGAGGAGGGGAGATTGGCTTGCTGGTAGAGATCCAACTGCGCCTTAGTTGCGTCCAAACTTCCTGCTCACGAGTTTGGTCATTCGGGGGGCGGAGGACTTCACACGGATACAGCCTTGTAACTTACTGTGTAACGTCAGGCGAAAGTTAAGTGTCGCATACATGCAATAAAGCACTTCATGACCCACTATCTATATCCAGCTGTGCGGTGTCACGGTTTATCGTCCCAGGGGGGGGAGCAATCACTGGAGAACTGGAGCACATGAATGTGGAATAACCTATTGTAGACTATCCATGCGTCCATGCCCTGTGGATCAATCACCCGGTGCATTTAAAAAGTAGGGTGATTAGTCTACACGAGGTAAACACATCGATATCGGACTCTGGGTGAGAGTTGGAAGGAAGATGAAAATTCACCAAACGGCTGTATGACGAACTGGGGCGAGCTTAAGAAGGAGGGAGCACACTCATTCCTGTTATTATATAGCATGGTATACTAAAAGGCATTGCCGTAAATCCAGTAGTATGTGTAGTGCAGACGGCTTACCCGAGAGGGGGTGCAGAGCTGGTTCGTGTAGTACTTGGTGAGTCGCACCCCTTCGGAGGAGAGAGAGTCCATGAACGGTGTCAGCTCCCACAGATCCGTGCTCTGGTACCCGATGTCGTTCGTACCGACATCGTCTATCAAGATAAATATCACGTTCGGCTGTTGTTGCTGCTCCTCCTCAGCGTCACCACCACTACTGCTGTCGCCCGCGTTGCTTGTCCCCTCCAAGGTTGGTACTTCTCGAGCCGCTTCTGCTTCTCGATCCACGGGCAAATAATGTGCGTCCTTCCGTGCAGCAGTTTCGTCCTGGAATTGCTGGTTCTCCGCCTCCTGGAAGAACTGCCGTCGTGGCGATGTCGCCGCTGCGGATTCGGCAGCCAGGCTACTGCCCCCCTCCGCCCCCGGCTCCTCTCGGGAAGAGGGAGGGGCTCGCACAAGGCTACGAAAGAGAGTAGCAGAGATCAACAGGCTGGCGCAGGCCACGGCCGCTCGAAATAGCACAGCATGCGAGACCATTGGTCTGCAGCTCGACTGTTGTCGCTGGCTTCCTTCGCAATTGCTGTCACGCCCCCGCCGCCGCCGCCGCCGCTGCTCTGCCTCGTCGTCTCCGCTGTATCCCCGCCGCTGCTGCTGCTGCTTCGGCAGAAGCTCATCCCTCTCGCTGGAGGTTTCGAAGCCCGACATGGTACGTGAGAATGTTTTCCCGCTGGTCCAACAGCTCAGGTCTCCCAGCTCAAGCCTTAGGCCTCAGGCCTGCCTTTTGGTTCCCAGCAGTCCCCGATTCGACAGCGAGAAATATCTCTTGAGTGCAGTAGCACTATACTCCTGGCCCAGCGCGTCCCTAAGAGCAGCAAGCGTGCTGCTGTTGTTGATCGGGCGGCCACCGGACGATGTTGCACCAACGGTGCGCGCCCGTGTGCATGCAGAACAATGCGAAAACTGCAGACCCAAAGTGAAGGAAACCCACGCGAGACTGTCAGCTTCCGCTTCTTTTTTTTTTTGGTCCTGGCGGTACAGCCGGTACAGCAGTAAATAGTTACCAGGAGTTCTCTCCTTCTGAGTCGCGCTCTGTCGCTCTCTCTCGTTGTGTGAGAGCAGTGAAAAGGTTTCACAGGTTAGCGCGTTGCAGGGTAGACTTGCTCTGCCCCCCGGATGTTACGTCGATATTGCTGTAGTGCAAACAGATATCATGAACAATGCGTCTGTGTGTTCTGTGTTGTCCGATGTGCAAGGCCGGCGGTGAACATTTGTATGTGTGTCATTTTGTGTACATACATTGTACGTCCGTTGTGTAACGGACGGAGAACCAACAAATCGCTGTATGCTACAATATATGTATGTGTACATGAAATTTAGTACTACAGCAGTACACTCTTTGCATTTGTGTTTCAATAGTGCACCGCAGTGTAGTCTACTCTTGTTGGACCCTGGCGACCGCCGGTGTCTGGATTGAAGAACCTACTGCTGTTGTAGCTGTACAGCAGTAGTCTACTGCTGCTGTGCCCGCCGTCCATGAGTCCGCTCCTTCGTTTTTCATGTACCAATTCTGATGGATTGGGTGTGTGTGGCGCTCTCCGGTGGGCGGGATCAACAAATACATTGGTTTTTCAGTACGGGCCCGCAGATAAGAAACGTCAATATGTATCGGGTCGAGCCTCAACGCCTGCCGAAGTCGTCAATTTCCTGAAAAAGGCAATTCTTATTCCTTTGGACTGTCGCATCCTCCTGATTCTCTTATTCCTTTTATTTTCTTATTTCTGGCTACATAACAACACAACACACCGTACATTCAGGCAGCATTAACCAGAAAGCTCGGTGTGGCGAACATTGGGGGTTGTCGCCCTCCGGGGCTTCTTGACTCCCGCCTCCTCTTCATCCACCTCCAGCAGCACCCACGCCCCAACGGCCGCGGCTTCATCGGTGGTAAACGATTCCAACGGCAACTTCACGCTGCGTGTCCTTCCATCAGAGTGCAGCGTGACGCGGTAGTCATAGTTGTGACGCGAACTACCCTCTACGAGTGATGACTCCCCCGTACCAACCCAAGCTTTACGAATTGAGGGCAGGCGGTCGAGACGTCGACAGCGCCTTTTTATCTCTGAAGACAAACAATTTCTTCAAGCCCTCAAGAGAGGCGGTGGATATTGCCATCAAACCCGTACAGCGGACAGCATGTGGTGGTCCGCGATGTATATGTGGCAGTATTACAGTGGGTAGCGCAGCCCGCGGCGGCACTGGGGCGAGGGGGGCGCCGCGAAAATAGCCACTCTCCCCCCCTACAAAACAATATATATATGCACTGTTCAGCTAGGAAGGGGGTTGAGAGCACGGACGGAGCAGCAGTGGGACATTTCTTTTTGGACACGCTCCCCCAGCTACCCCTTGTTTCTTGTGTCTTGGGGGTATCGCATACCATCATGTTTCTTGTTGGGACGTTGCTTATGTTGTGGCCGAGATTGAGCTGTATTTCTTAACCCTTTAAAAATATTTTTCGTAATTCTTGTGTCTTGGGGGTATCGCATACCATCATGTTTCTTGTTGGGACGTTGCTTATGTTGTGGCCGAGATTGAGCTGTATTTCTTAACCCTTTAAAAATATTTTTCGTAAAAAAATTTGCTGTAGACTATTTCTCAACTGAATTTTTCTTAACTGCGGGCCCGTACTATATGTTGGTGCTTGCTGCTTTTCTAACCTGAGGGGACATTTTTTACTGGAGTTTTTCTGCCTACCCACTATCAGTAGTGTAGTACATCCCAGACCAGACAAGGAGCAAGTCTTGGACATTCAGCGATCAGGGGGAATTGGGTTTGAACGTGCATAGTAGTAGGCGTCGGCGCCCCCAAAGAGCAACAAAAGAAAATTCATCTATGCAGGCCCAACCAACATGCTGTACTGGGACACACAGCCAATCACGGCGCCTAGATTAACAATGATTGAGAAGTGACAAAGTTGGCGGTGCAAATTGTCCCCCCCGAAAGGGCCGCAAATTCGTAAAAGAGTGAAGGCGGGAAGGCGGCTACATGTACAAGCAGAGAGGGAAGGAGGGAGGGGAGAGAGAGAGAGAGAGAGAGAGAGAGATACATACGATTGGGCTAAAGGGAAGCTGGGGTTTGGCCAGTGAGACGGAATCGTAGGCACGGCAAATCTTGCAAGGGAGAAACACTCAGTTCACGCTACGGCCTCTCCCATGAGGAGAATGGGCAACCGCTCTGGACTCCAAAGAATCCTACTGTAGTAGTTAGGGCCGGAAGGTCTGAGCGAGAAAAGATGGTTCAGTTGGGCGTCGCCTCGCCGAAAGGAACACCCTTGCATTCCCTGGCTGAGGTGTCTCCATCGGTCAAAATGAGGCAGAAACAGTTTGTCAAAGGGCTGGGAGTAGGTCAAGACGGGGTTTTGCGGTGGTATGCTGCGGCGTTCGAACGGCCATACTCCCTGTGCAACCCGTTGCGGTTGCGGAAGCATGTCGAACACGAGCTAAAACCAAACACTGTGCAGTCGTGGCGGACGAGGATACCAAGGTGATCAGGTTGACTTTGTCTGACATCAAGCAAGGTTAAAGTCGTTCGCGGCACCCCAGGTTCAGGTCGGAAGCGACAAGAAGAGAGGTGTCGGGACTCGTTAACGTTAACGACAAACTCGCTGTATCGGTGTGCGGGCCTCGAAGGGATGATGGAGCATCTCGGGGAGGAAACCACTGTCGGCAAAGTTTAAGTATTGGCAAAACCATTTCTGGGGACACCACCAAGCGATGGACAGAACGTCGCGAAGCTTCGTGTCACGTTAGTGGGGGATCCCGGGCCTGTTTCGTTCGACAACGTGAAGAACAAACGCGATTTATCGAGATTGGTAGCGGTGGCTGCTGGGTTGGGTGGTTTCGGACCCGTTGAAGGGAGGTTTTGCGCACTCATCGCCTCCGACGTGCGTCGGCGTCGTTTGACCACACGCGACTGGCCACCGACGAAGCCTGTTGTGTTCGCTTCGGCGGCGGCGGGCCTGGTTCGTGCGGGAATAGAAGGGGCCGAGGAAAAAAAGCAACAGATGGTGGCGTTTCGGGCATCGGGGTGGGGGGGGGCGGCGGGAGTACACCTTTCAGCGAGTTCATGACGTTCAACACGGACGACTGCGCTAAATCGAGTGGGGTACGGTCCCATTTTGTTGGTATGTCGTGAATGCTTTCCTCTTGGTGATCGGCTTGTTCGTGCGGCCTTCGTGGGGAGGAATTTTTCCAGGGTCGTGGTCGTTGATGGCCTCGACAATTGGACACTGTCATCGCCATACAAACAAAGATCGCAAAACGAAAGGTGCATATTGCCGAAGGCGAGCGGAATCGCACAAAATCAACCACGTAGATATAACGGGGTCCGATATCGCCACCGGGGGAGGCGGCCGTTTGCGCGCCTCCACTGGTGCCTGCTGCGCCTATCTCGCGCGAGTACACGTAGGGCATTTTTTTCGGAAAGTTGGCGTAGACGCTCGATATGGTACATACAGTATATTGGAGGCGTATCACGATCGCGACGAAGAACGGTTGCTCGCGGCGCCACCTGACTTTTACAGTGGACAAGCCCGCCCTGGCAATGTCCCAGAAAAGGATGAACTGACTGCTCTGGTCGAAGGGGCTCTTTAAAGGAGGGGAAGCCGTGGGTGGTAGCTTGCTCCTAGAGATAGATGAAGGTAGGTTCTGTCGTTGACACGCTTGTCCACGATCACGTAGAGATGAGAAAGTTGCTTGTTATTGCTGAGAGACGATCAGCAAGGGTCTGAGGTGAAGTGGGGATCCAACTTCACCTCAGGGGGGTACGCAGACTAGACAAAATCCTAAGAGGGTAGGTGTCTGAAGGGTATACCTCCTGAGACCGACCCACATCCTATCAACAATAAGATGTACCCTATTTAAGCTAGCAGCCACACTCCTTAACACTAGCCCACCCTGAATATCATATATGCAGATTCTATACTCAAATCAATGCTCAACTCCTAAAAGCTACAACGAAGATTTTAGCTGACGATTGATGCTCATGAATCGAAGATATGACTCTTCACAAAACATCCAAAAAGGAGGGTGAGTTGTAGAAACATCCCGAATCAACCCCCACACCATCATTGAGACGAAAGATGGATGCGAACGGCCACGAGACGACACATCGACATCTCAATGACAACGCTCCTATTAATGAAGGGATAAGGCCAAGAAAAATATGTAGTGCTGCACAGCACGCTATCCGCAACAGACGACGGCAAGAGAAATAAAGTCAAAACCTAAACGCCACACACCACTCGTTTACGCGCACCCGCGCGTATAACAATGGGAGGAATGAGGGCGACTACCCGAGAGAGCCCCAAAATGCTGCAACAAAACTCAAAACCCAAGCAAAATTTCCGAACGAATACGGCCTTTGATACTGGACGCGACGTAAAGGGGAAGATATCAACGCAACCAATCTAGGAAAGCGTCAAAGAAGAGCAGGAGAAATGAATGACAGGCGAACACACTGACAACAATTTCCAGAGTGTC